AACATGGGGCTCAAACTCACAAACTGTGAGATCATGACCTCAGCTGAATTCGGATACTTAACCGACTGAGCCACCCAGGTGCCTCAGGAGGCACACATATGTAAGGGACAGGCAGAAGAAGTGGAGACTGAGGAAGTGTAATTAGGGAATCAAGAGGAAATAGTATCATGGAAGTCAGGAGAGATGGAAGTGAATTGGTTGGCAGTGTCACGGTTGGCAGTGTCACATGCTATAGAAAGGCCACCTGAGAGGAAGGCTAAGATGAACCCACTGTCTTGGGTATGGGGAAGCCACCCAAATATGGGTGACCAATTTCTTTTGCAGGGGAATGTAATCATATTGTACTGGATTGTGAAGTATAACAAGAGTGTCTGTGAATATACTGTTGACTTCTTTTTTTTTTTTTTTTTTTTTACAAATAGTTTATTGTCAAATTAGTTTCCACATAACACTCAGTGCTCATCCCCACAAGTGTCCTCCTCCATGCCCATCCCCCCCTCCCCCCCACATCCATCAGTCCTCAGTTTTTGTCAGCATTCAAGAGTCTCTCATGGTTTGCCTCTCTCCCTTTCCCCCACCATTTCCGCCCTTCTTCTCCCCCTTGGTCCTCCGTCAGGTTCCTCTTAATCCTCCTATACGTGCAAACATGATATTTGTCCTTCTCTGCCTGACTTATTTCGCTCAGCATAACACCCTCAAGGTCCATCCATGTTGCTACACATGGCCAGATTTCATTGTTTCTCATTGCCATGTAGTATTCCATGGTATAGATAAACCACATCTTCTTGATCCATTCATCTGTTGATGGACACTTAGGCTCTTTCCATGTTACAGAAATGCTGAGGCATAGGAGCACGTGTACCCCAATGTTCATAGCAGCACTCTCCACAATACTGTTGACTTCTCTTTCAAAAAGTTTGATAGGGAAGACAAGCAGAGGAGAGCTTTTTGGATTAGCAAGAATTGAGAGTATGTTGGTGAGAAAGAAGGAAAAAATCAATCTAGATAGAACAAGGGGAAGGGGATAACTGATGCACTAAAGTCCCAGAAGGTCGAGTGGGCCAAGAAGGAGTGAGCCTTGGAGAGGGCAAGAGAAAGCTCTTCATCTCAGTATAAAAGTAAGGGTGCCTTAAACAAAAGTTTTGAAACCCTGAGGTCAGAGTTTGGGGAATTCATGCTTGATGGAATCTTAATAATTCCTCGGTAGTTGGAAGAGGCCAGTTCCTCTGTAGGGACTAAGAGGTAGAAAAGAATGAGGAAGAGAAGTGACTTGTGTGGGGACACAGAGGTTGGAAGCAATTTATGGAGAGCGTGGAGTTGAGTAAAAGGACTGTGAAGCAAACTTGAGAATTCAGCAGGAGCCCAACTCTCTCTAAATTATAGTTGTGCCTGCCATTTACCTGAACATCAATATGGGTGAGGAGGGGCACCTGGGTGGCTCAGTCGGTTAAGCATCTAACTTTGGCTCAGGTCATGATCTCACAGTTCGTGCTGACAGCTCAGAGCCTGGAGCCTGCTTCAGATTCTGTGTCTCCTTCTCTCTCTGCCCCTCTCCTGCTTGTGCTCTGGCCTTCCCTCCCTCAAAAATAAACATTAAAAAATGTTTTTTATACATGAGTGAGGAATAGTTACTTATTGAGCTCGTGGTATGATGGGGGGGAGATTCCTACTGTGTATCATAAAAGCTTCCTAGCAAAAGGGAGGTCTTATCATCGTCCCCAGGTTTGTAGAGATAGAACTGAGGCATAGAGGTCAATAACAGAGAGAGGAAAGTTCACACAGGCGCTAAGTGGCAGAAGCAGGCTCTGAGTCCCCTGGCACCCCTGCTGCAGAACACAGCACCCACCTGCAGTGTACACTACATGCCTGGGAGAGCAGGCGTGATGAGGCGTGGGAGGCAGGCAGCCTGCGTGGGATGGGTGAAGTGGCGAGAGACCTGAGGGTGCCGATGTGTCTTCTGAAGTTAACCAAGGTCAGGGAGGTAGGAAAGGAAAGAACCAAAGTCTGAAGGCCGATACTGAGGGACTTGAGAGTCAGGAGGTCAAAGAATGGGTTTAAGTGGAATTGGGTAAGGTGAAATGTGGAATGCTAAGAGCTGTGATGAGAAAGGTCATTTGAGGGGTAGCATTTCTGAGTGATCCGAAGGGCACCAGATGGTCGAAGAAATGAATGGCTGAGGGTAACGTGAAGTCTTTGGGAGTGGAGAAGACTTAGGATGAGAGATCTGGATGAGAACAAAAGATTTTGACTTTACTGCCTCGGTGACGCTTTTCCCTTTTGTGATATTTTATTAATTTGGCCACTGCTGCCTAAATAGTTTCTCCTTTAATTGCCTTGAATAATTGAGCTGCTCTCTTTTCACCCTACATATACTTAGAAATTGTAACAGACCTCTTATCCTACCAATTACTCCTACTTGATCTTTTGATCTCTCTTAGTAAAATATTTTAAGGTTTTCTTAACTGGGAAGTGTTAGCTACCGAGGCTGAGCAGTTCCTAGCCTAGTCATAACTAATTCAGTCAAATTAAATATTAAGATACATGGACATATTTTACTACATTTACAACCTAATCTCTAAAATAATGAGGTAAAATTAGTCAAGATCTTTTTTTAAGGAGGAAAAAGTAGAATAGAGAAAGTACTGCATTTTTAAAAAGAAGCTTTACTTGAGAATAATTTTAGACTTCTCCAGAAAGTTGCAAGGATGTTACAGAAGGTTGCCAAAGACTCCTCTTTGTTGTGGTGGGTTCTCAGACTTTTGTTGTCCTCTGAGGAGTACCGGTCAGGTGTTTTGTAGAGTAGTTCTCAGTTTGGATTTGTCTGATGTTTTTCTCACGATTAGACTCCTACTTGAGTAAGAGGAAGACTGTGGAAGTAAAGTGCCATTCTTATGCCCGCGTGTCAGGCCTGCATGCTATAAACATGACTTAGCACTGTTGATCTTTACCTTGCTCCTCTGGCTGAAGTGAAGGGTTTGTCCCATTTCTGTTTTAAAGTTACTCTTTCTCCCTCCCTTGCCTTCTATACTGAACTGTGGAAGGGAGTCACTGAAGAGGGGTGGGGAGTTAGGTTTCAGCTCGTTGAGGTTACAATATCTACATAAATCATTTGTAATTACTCTGCACAGGGTAATTTATCTTTTCTCCCTTAATCATTCATTCCTTCATTCATTTACATTACCATGGATCCATGGATATTTATTTTATACGTTAGGGTTTTTTTTTAATCTAATACCACATTATTTATGATTTACTAATTGTTCAGAATGCTACAGCTTTTGCCATTGAATTCTTTCAGTTGGCTTCTGTGGCCCTCTGATACAACCTCATCATTTTGCTTTTGAGTACTTCCTTTCTATCTGACAGTAAAAAAAAAAAATGTGCTAGATTCATACTGTATATTCTCTGTCCCAGCCCTAGAATCAGCCATGTCTCAAGGAATCCTGGTTCCTTTTATTGGAGAATGGTGTTAGAAGCCAAGATCTAAGCCCTGGGTTAGATTGCTACTGGGGCATCATTGTTTCTGTGCCCTCCCAGCTGACAACTTGGAAATATACCAACCTGTGGAGACACAGAGAACTATCATTACTTTTACTATGTCCATCTCTGTATCTATATTAAGCTAAATATGAGTTCATACTGATGTTGTCAACTCTAATCCAGTATCATATGGATTCATCTAGCCTCTTCCACTCACTTGTCTGTAACTTTCCACTCCAACAATGAGAAGCCTGGTCTCCACTTCATCACCAAACAAATGTACTTATTTGTTAAATCCCAATTTACATGTATAATGGTTTTAGAATTTTTTGCCTGTTCTTCCATGAGACACAACTTTACCAACTTTACTAACTGGCTGTGTACAGTTTGTTTTGTTTTTAGTCTTACAGTCCCCATTCATTTTCAGAGTTACTTAAGTCACCTGTTTTTACCCCATGTCTTACAGTGAGGTTATGTCATGTTCTTGTAAAGCAGTTAGGTTCTTCTGTCATAGTCTGGGTTCCATCCTGGCACCCCCAACCTCCTAACTGCTATTTTAAAATTTCCACACACTCTTCATGCTGTCCTATGGATTTGACAAATGAATAGTGTCTTCTATTCAGCACTACAATATCACAGAGAATTGTTTCACCACCCTAAAATATCTCCCAGACTTCACTTATTCTACCCTCTTCCTCTCTCCCTAAACCTCTGGCAACCATTGACCTGTCTTTTGTCTTTATAGTTTTGCTTTTTCCAGAATGTTCTATAAATGGAATCATACTATGGGTAGAGTTTTCAGACTGGTTTCTTTTCATTTAGTAATATGCATTTACAATTCTTCCATGTGGTTAGGTAAATTGATAGTTTGTTCCTTTTTATTGCTGAATGGTATTCCGTTGTGTGGCTATACCATAATTTGCTTATCATTTCACCTATTGAATAAGTCCAACTTATCAATATTTTTTCTTGATATTTGTGCTTTTGGTGTTATATCTAAAGTACTATCACCAAACCTCAGCTCATGCAGATTTTTTCCTATGTTTTCTTCTAGAAGTTTCATAGTTTTTCATTTTACATTTAAATCTGTGGTTCATTTTGAGTTTTTGTGCAATATGTGAGGTCTGTGCTTAGGTTCATTTTTCTGCATCTGAATATCCAGTTGTTCCAGCTGTTGGGAAAACTCTCCTTCTCCATTGAATTACCTTTCCAATGTAGCCAGAAGTCAGTGGAATTTATTTGTGTGGGTCTATTTCCAGGCTAACACGGCTGGTCTTTCACCAGCACCATGCTGTCTTGATAACTGTAGCTGTATATAGCAAGTCAGTCTTGAAAGTGGGTAGCATGAGTGTGCCAGCCTTCTTCCTTTCAGTATTGTGTTGGCTATTCTGGGCCCTTTGCCTCCCCATATAAATCTTAGGGGGAATGTTCACTGAATTTTAAAAACTGAAAACTAAAATTAAAATGGTTAATCCTCAGAGATGCAGAGTAAATGTGATGCTTTTAAAAATTTTTTTCAGGTGGTTCTTTGAAGCTCTGAAGTATCCTAAGTTTTCCAAGGCTAACGTCATCAATGGAATACTCATGACAGTGGTATTCTTCATCGTGCGGATTGTCTCGATGCCTCCTTTTTATAGCTTCATGTATTCCGTGTTAGGAACAGAAGCCTATGTCAGGCTTGGACTTTTAGTCCAATGTTCCTGGATCTCTACTTGTGTTGTTTTGGATGTGATGAATGTCATGTGGATGATCAAAATTACAAAGGGTTGCATCAAAGTCATCTCTCTCATCAGACAAGAGAAAGCCAAAAAGAGTCTTCAGAATGGAAAACTTGACTAAAAGTGGGCTATTGATAAGTATACTTTATTACTACCCGCATTATATCTACTGATAGGATGAATTCTCGGCATGTTCTTGTGCTTCTTATTAATTATACTTGTTATCGAGGGTTTCAGTGCTTTTTTTTTTTTAACCTTTAGAAAAGAGAAACTAAAACATAGCTTTTATTCCAAGATTTCTTTTCTGATTTTCTTCTGCATTGTAAGCATGGATAAAATCTTAAAGGTTAAAATAAAAAAAATTATAAATATAGTGGTGAATCTTTCCAGAAATCTGTTAACCTGCATTGATATTTTTCTCTGTGAAAAAATGACTGCTAATTTGATGCGCTTGCTTTTATGTCACCAATTTTGCTGAAAGAATGGGAACTGCTTTTAAATTTGTAAATAGCTCTCAACATTTCGTGGTACTGCACTCATTTGTGCTCTTGGCTGTCAATACCTGTGGTGGGTTTAATTTCCAAATTTTTCTTTTTCTTACACTATTAGTAATCATGTATCTTTTTTTTTTTAGATATTCTATCATCTAATGATGAAGTATTTTGCTTACTTTGGGAATATTTAATTAGTTCAGTCATGGACAATACTTCTTTCATTTGTAGATTGCTCAGACCTCACTTTATCATTTCTATTTTTAACATTTTATCCAAGTACTGCTTTTTTATTTGTAGTAAGGCTTAAGACAGATTTTTCAGAGCTCCTTAGATGAATTCCTCTTTCTAAAAATGCATGTTGTAGATGACTGTTTAGGCTACTAAGAGGAATCATTAAGAACAAAGCTTTAACACGGCTGTCTTGGTTCCCCTTGCACTTTTTCCGTGAAAAAAAATATGATTTCTATTTGCAAAACCTCCCCTAAGATCAGAACCCAACATCGTCAGTACCAAAGTGTCATGCAGTATGTATTTATCACGCTCCTAAGGTCCGCCTCTCCTTGCTGAGACCAAAACTCCAAAAAAATTGGTATTCACATTTTACTCACAGTTCACACCCATGCTTGCTTAATCAATATTTTGAGTGCTTTGACTTTCTATCTTTCCTAAAGAACAGGGAAAACAATAGGTAATTTAATTCAAGTATTCTGATTACCAATATTCTTGTCTTACATGATGATACATGACTGGTGACTCTGGTTTTTTGGTTTTGGGGTTTTTTTTTTTTGGTGGATATGTAAGTATGTGTTTGCTTTTTCTTTGATTCTTGCAACCCAAATATAGAATTATATAGTTAGCTATTATTGCCTTTATTTATTTTTCTCAAGTACTTGACTTTAATGATTGTTCTTACATAAGAAAAAAAGAAATTTAACCAGTGACAGATGCTTGAATTTAATTGAACCCAAACCAAGAGATCGAATCCACTTAGTTTCTCAGTTGGTAGGATGCTTCTCTTTCATTGTGCGTGTTGTGATGATGAAGAGAGGCTGGCTGGATAGATCAAGACTTTGATTTAATTTGACTTGATTTGGTTTGATCTGGCTGTCTAATGCAGATAGAGCCTGATAAGTTTTAGAATATTTAAAGAAGGCTATTAAAATCTCAAGTCAATGAGAGAATCAAATTGATCAGCTTACACTAAGTACACTTATGTTTGAATGACTTAATTAAAGTAATGTAAAATATAGGTATTTGTTTTTAACGCTACTGATACTACATTGATAATTTGTTACCAAATTTTGTGCCTTCCACATGATAGGCACTTAAATGCATATTGGTGGTTTAGAGAGGGTAGGAAAGCACATGGTTTTATCTTGTTCTTTTCTTGCTCTTTGCAAGAAAACTGGCTTTTTAAAAGGAAAACATTTATATCAGAAAACTATTTTGGAAATCCATTCCTTTAGAAAGAAGCAAAACTTGAAATAAATATTTTTGACTCTTTGGATATTTCTATAGTTTCTGAGCACAGATTTTAAACCCACTATCAAAATGAAGTCAGTATAAAGCAATATATGGCCATGTATTGTAAAATAAAACTCACTGATAAGTGAGTTTCCATATAGTAGTTTGGGTTTTTATGGTTGTGATTTCATGCTTAAAACTTCATTTTCACTTTCATTGACAGCACTTTTCATCAGTATAGCTGCTCACTGAACATGTGTGCTTAAAGTAGCAATGTTTTCAACTGAAGTTTGTCATTCACTTAGTCAGCAATTCTTATTTTTATGCTGGCTGCATGACAGCGAATTCAACATCCAGATTCAGTATCCAAAATTGGATACATATTTCCTCTCACGACGCACATTAAATGGAAAAGACACTACAAACTGCCATGCTACTTTAAATCAGATTTTCACAGGAACTATACTTGGCGCTTCTAGGATTGTGTCCACCTACCTAAGATACAAGGCGTTGAAGACAGAACATATCATTTATTAAACGATGAATTTTTCATTTATTAAATGACAGACTTTTGCTAGACATTTTACATATTAAGTATTTTGACTACATGGATTAATTTAAATGATTCTATTAGGCATTCTGATATTTAACAGCTCTTAAGATATTTGTAGAAAATAAAAGCAAATTGGTATAAATTTTTAAGCAACTCTATTTTTATAGAAAAAGATTAGTGACAACCTGTAACTATAAAGATGTTCTCTGAACATAGTAGTCTAAAAAATAAACGATTCTTACAAAATTTTGGAAGTGAGTGGAAGTCAGCATGCAAGATCGTAGATTCTGCAGCTGATATTTTATTTGGGAGAATTTAAAAATTATGAGTTTGAGTTCATAGAGTTTGCATTCTTGTGTCTAAAATCTTTCTAGTGAGTATTGTTTGCATTTATTTCACACTCAGAATGGGGTTACATGAGTGTAAAAAAACTAACTCCTGCATAGGTTGTGTCTTGATATCTTCTAGTGAGTTAAGATGCAATTTTTATTCCACCTGTTTAGTTTTTGTGGTTTCGTGGGCTAGCTAGCACTACGTTAAGAGAAATAATGTCTTTACCATTCCTAAGGGTAACTGATATATCGTGATGTCCAAGTCCGATTGTAAAGGCCTAGTTTTAAAAGCTACCTAGTATATGGGTGTTTGAATCAAATTCTTTTCTAAATTTTAATCGACTTGACTCAGTCTTTTGCTAACGTATCAGTTTTTAAATTGGACACTTTCTTTGAGGTGAATCGAATGTTTGGGGAACCGTCCCTTCACGGGCACGAAGGGCCAGCTGTATGCGTTACACCATTTGTCATCCTGCATTAGAAACCGTCTTCTCGTGGAGATCTCTAGGGGACGGTGTTGTAATATTCATGTTCTGTTTTGCTTTTAAGGGAAATAAACATGTTTCAAAAGACACTATTAAAATAAATGTTTGAACGAATTTCTGTTTCTAGGTTACTCTTAACTCCAGTACGTAAATATACCTATGAATTGGCTTTCATGGTTTATCGCGTTGCTTGTAATTGAAAAGTCCATGTAATTGTTGCCATCATCAGTTCTGTTCATGGAAGACTACGTATTTATGTGTTTTGAGTTCCAGAAGAAGAAACTCGTAGAATTTTATCAGAAATGTGGCACAGTGTTTCTCCTCAGGTAAGAACCAGCACAGCAGCGAGGCCCCTCCAGTGTCTGGAGACTGTGGGCGCACACCGACCACCCAGCCTTACCCACAGCTGGTTGACGACAGGCACACTAACGCTACTGAAAGTGAGTTTTGACGTGAAACACACGTAGTACATATGAGAACAGCAGGAAGCCAGCAGGACCTGGAGTTGGAGACCCCACGACTGATTTTCCCTTAAAAGTCATGATGCTCCTCCCTCTTGGAGAAGCTTTTCTCTGAATCCTCCCAGCCCTTCCATCTCATCCTCTTAACACCCTAAAGACTTTATCAGCACCTCCATCTCTACAAACCAACACGTTTCAATGTCAACTCTCGAGGCTTCCTCACACCCTTAAGCTCCCCAGTCTATTGTGGCAAATTTCAAAGTTTCAAGTATGTTCTTCCATTGGGGGAAAAAAAGCATTTCAGTAAGTTTAAGTGGGGATCAGACAAACCATAATTGTTAAGAGGTTATCAGGAGCCATTTAGTATTTAATAATACTGTTACAAGATGAAACAAGGCTAATAAGATTATGGTTTTATTGAGAAACATCTGTAGTCTCTTAATCTGGCTCAGCAGGAAGAGCTTTATAAATATGTTTCAGCTGGGGATTCATTGCAGGCATGCAAATTATCTAAGAGCTCTTCCTTAGCCCCCATGACAGGGAGAGGAGGAACTGTTAGGAGGCTGTTAGGAGGAGGGGCTGATGGTCTGTGGCAGCGTTACTGGGTCCTGCTCTTTAGTTGAGCAAATTTAGTTCTGGTCCTGTTTCCTTTAAAAGCAAGCTGACCAGCAAGTGGATTCCTTAGCATGTTTTTACAAGTGCAACACTCAAGTCCTTGAGCCTGGGCCCTTTCTAGCCCAGACCTCCAACTGCCTCTAGATAGCCTTGGTAGTAAGTTGTACCTTTATTTGAAGATCTTTTGGATAGCGATGAAGAACTGAAGGCTGACTGCTAAAGATTGGGTTGTTTGCATCAAAAATGTTTACACGGATTCCCTGGAGCAGTAGACAGTTTTGATATCAGGCCCTATATTTAAGGCCAAAAACAATGAGAAATATTTCTAAATCTTAAAGATAGAAATACAATACCTCAGGCTAAAAACTCGTTAATTATCCTCTGTATATGTTTTTCTTTTTAGCTTTACCTAATTCTTTCTGTAATTAAGTGTGCATTAGGTATTTGCTACTTCTTGGTTAATGAAGCCTAAAAATATAACTAAATAACATACGCTATATTTTTTCTGTTTCTTGGTTTGCTTCTAGTATGGTCATGTCTACTTTTTACTTAAGGAATTTTTGCATAGATAATACTCTTACTAACTTGTAAGTAGGATGGTTGTGAGGTTTTTCTGGCAATTATTAGAATTTGTAATAACTTTTAGACCTAGATTTCATTTGAAAAAGTTACTTGAAAATTGCAGCAAATGTGATAGGTATAGTGACATATACAATTTTTTTCTGGGAATATATACAACATTACTATTTAATTGTTAGAACAATTTTGGAAGTCTTTCAAAAT